TATATACTTTGGACCCAAGGTGCCTACATAGGGACTACTTTAAGGCCAAAGTATATACTATTGGGGTACATGGACCCTTACGGTTTGTGGGATTGTAGCAGAAATGCGTGCCGCACAACTGAGTCTTTGTCGAAATGTGGTCATGTCCTATATGCTGTTGTAAGAAGTGGCAGCAGAATGTAGAAAAATGCTCCAACTACTGCGAGATTCCTGCCCATTGCGCTGCCAGGACAAACTCAGACGTCGGTCGAATCTGGCTTCCGCTGAGTATACTACCGAAAATCGGCAAGGAGTGGACAGCAATCCAACGAATGCTCTGTCAGGTAACACAATCCAACATCTCGCGTGTCCTGGGAGTTCGCGAAACAATCCCTTGAACCACATTGCAACTATATGCCTGAAATACGTACTACATGCTGACATTGCTCAGGCTGGAATTGGGCTAACTATAATATGATAATATATAGAGGGTTTTTATATAAAAAAACCCTCTATTTGGCTAACTATAATATATCCCAAGCCGCAAGCCACTGCTCTGACGTCGAGTGGTATGGAGACATTCGCTGCAACGCCTCGTGATACCTCTAGTGGCATTTTCTACTAAACATATTGGGGAAAAATATTTTCCCAAATATGTTTAGTGGGGGAAATCTTTTTTTCCCCAATATGTTTGGTTCATTTCGCAACAGCACTGGCAGCAGCACAGGCACGGGAACTTAGAATTAGTTGGGTTGGGGGTACATATGTGTGACAAGGAATCAGCGCTCTTATTCCTAGATTATAACGACTACTTTCACAACGCCCAACAACACCTCACATACCAAACCCTACAAAGACACCTCAACAAGTACTGAACGGTAAATCCTTTCAGCGCCTACACCCTAAACTCCTAAATCCATGAACTCAACCCCTTAGCTCCAAAAGCAGGTAAAACAACGCCTCAAAACCTATAAAAGGCTATTATTCTACATACTTGTAGGGTGCAGGTAAGCCCAAAGCTCCTAATCAAAACTAAACCGCGGAAACGCCGAAGCTCCGCTCTGCCTCGGGTCCCTTGGGTCCTCTGCCGAGGATTCAAAGAGGTGCCTCCAGAAGAGGTAACCAGCTAAGATTTAAGGTTCAGGGGTTTAGGGTCTAGGGTGTCTTTGTTAGGGTTGTAGAAGGGTTCCTTTAAAGGGTACTATAAGGATTCTGGGGGCGTTTGGTTTAGGAATCTGATTTGGGGTCGGGCATTTATTCCGGGACCCCCCCAACTGTTCAACATTTTCCCCCTACCCACTATTCACGGATTAAAGAATGCTTGGGGGGTCCTGGTTGGTTTCCAGGGGTTTAGGGCTCAGGACTTGGCAGAAATATTGAAACTCTACCCACAGGCCCCAAAGTAGTTCCTCTTGGGGGTCCATATTTAGAATCCTATCAGGTAAGCAACTGCTGTGGGGCCTGTGGGTAGACAAAGGGCGGATGACCCCCTGCGAAGATCCGGACAAAAAATCCAAGGGTAAAAGGAGGGACCCTTAATAAGGACCCCAGGAAAGCGCTGGAAAGCGTTGGTTCAGGCTCACGCCTGTCCCTTCCTTTTCACCCCTGCTTAATTCCTATACCCCTGCAGCAGCCGCAAATGCAATTGGTGCGTGCATACAGCAACATGGGCTTGATGAGGCAAGGAAACTGGCCATCCACGCATTAGCTAGCATGCCATCACTGCAACATCGTGTCCAATGTATGGAGCTTCTGGGTTTCTTAGGGTTTAATCCAGTGTTTTTCGTTGACGATGTTGTCGCCCCTTACCCTGATTTGGAGTCAACTGAGGCTGTGCTTGATTCAGGGTTGCCGTGTTTTGAGAAGCTGGCTAAGGGCAAATTCAATTATGGCCCGCAGAAGACTGCCACAATGGCCTGTTTTGATGCGCCTCCCGCAAAGCTTCACGTTGACTGTTATAAGCTCTTGGGTCAGGAAATCGATGCCCATCTGACCTTTTCTAAAAGACTTGCTGTTGTCTGTGCCTTGGGAAAGCAAGCCTTTGAAGAGTTCTTCCATTTTGTGGAATCTGTAGGAGTGTCCCCAGCAGTTATTGGTTTGGAGGTTCCAAGCCGCATAGAGACAATGGTGTTATATGGAGCCGAACTCCTCGTGCTAGCACCGCGAGCAGAGGACAGGCTAAACGCGCTACAGGCCTCTTGGGCCAAAGCAGTAATTGGAGCAAGGGCCTCCACAGACCTTCGTGGTGTTCTTGCAGTTGCTGAGTGCGGCTGGCCTTTGCGACTCGGCAGTCTGATGTTGGAAAGGGCAATTGTTGCGCTGGCACGCATGCAGTTGATGCCACATCATCACCCTGCACGTCTGATGGTAGAACTGGCGGCTAGTACTCCTTGTGACTCATGGGTCCAACGAGTCTTTTCGGAGCTGCGCAACCCTCAGCTACAGCAGGCAATCCCGGAGATTGCTAAAGCGGAAGTCTTCCCTCAGGCCCTCCTTGAGGAAGCAACATCCAACCGCGCAGTTCGGAAAAACGTCTTGCGGAGGTACAGATTGCAGATTGTTCGTCCGGCCCTTCTGTCCAAAGATCAGCGCGTATATGCTCAAGCTGCCCACAAGATGCTTGTTGGTTTGGGGTGCCACTACAGGGATCTCGGTATTGACGTTGACGGCACGTGGCTGTGCAAAGTTGCAGCAGGCTCTGTTTCTTGGCGAGATCTTCGCACCTGGTGGATGATTAGAGTCACAGGTTGCTGGCCGTCTAACCTATATGCTCCTGAGAGTCCAGCAGCCAGCCTTCCCGTATGCCCCCGTTGTGGAGCTGCGGACGTAGTCATTTCGCATGCATGGCTGTGCCCTCTCCTGCCCCTTGAGGGACTGAGGCCCAGCTCGGGATGGACTGGCGCTTTGCTTGACAAAAGCGGTTCAAGCCTTGAAGTCGCTTCAACGGTTACCTTTGTGGGATGCTGCGTGCATGACCTTCTCAGCAAGGTGCATTGGAGGCGTCCGCTGGATGCCGAAGATGACGACGAAAGAGTTAACCAGTGGCTTCAGGATTTCTGCCAGACTTGTGATGAAGCCGATCCCTGAAAAAAAAAAGCGAGCTTCCTGCACCGACCTGTCGGGCTTCGCCCCGAGGGTATCGCGCAGCTAGCATGCCCCAGCGCACAGTGAGGTGAGCTCCCTTGCGCTCAGGCCGTTGACAGATTACAGATTACAGATTATATATGCCCTTAATATAGGTAGTATATACCCATTATATAGCCCATTATAGGGTAGAGGTCCCCATTAAGGGTCCTTCCTTTGCCCCTTTGAAAAAACAGAACGGAAGCACCCCGACCTGTGCCCGTAGGCAGTGAAGAGACCCAACAACCCAGAGATCCCAATACCCTTCATCAAGGAATATAGCCTAAATCATAAAATGAAGCCTATATATTAATTTAACTCATAAAATGAAGTCCCAGAAAATTTGAGCCATATTGCTTAATTGAGGGGTATTGGGCCCTCTGCCCGAATCCTGAGTCCTGCGCCCGAAAGGGCTTGAAACCCCAAATCCTACGCCATACACCCTGGAACCCTTTATAAAGCCCTAAAACCCTAAACCCCCATAAGCCCTATAGGCCCTAAAAGCCCTACAAACCCTAAAAACCCTAAAAAGCCCTATAAACCCTAAAACCCCCTATAAGCCCTGTAAACCCTAAAACCCCAGAAACTCTGACACCTTAAAGCCCTAGAAGGGTGGAACCCACACGTCTTCCAAAATAAAACCCCTTTTACCCTGAACCTGCCCCCAAGCCCAAGAGACCCTATAAGCCTCAAACCCCAAATCAGGGTTCAGGGTTTAGGCATGTTTAGGCGGTAGGGTGCAAGGCTGAGGGTCTAGTCTAGGGCTTTAGGGTTTAGGGTTTTCAGGGTTTAGCATATCATTCAGGCTTGAAATCCTCTTTTGGCTAACCTAACCCATCTCTTCTTCTCAGCACGGCCTCAGCCGCCCCAAGGCTCCCGTCTGCTCGGCCCTTGCCGGCTCCTTGTGTTTTCGGATTTAGGGGTTTAGGGTTTACGGGTTGAAGGGTTTAGGGTGGTCTTTAGGGGTTTCCGGGTTCAGGGGTTTAAGGTTTAGGTTTAGGGTATAGGGGTTTATGGACTAGGGCTTAGGGCATCGAGTTTCCAAAGGGCTCAAACGTCTTCAGGCCTTGAGCTCTTGCTTGAAGGATGAAGGAACTGAGAAAGGGGACTATAAGGGTTACTAGAAGGGATCCATAAGGGTACTACAATAAGGGGGCCTTAACAATTACCTATACTATTATTGGGTTTCCTTATTATAAATATAATATAATGGGCCCCAGAACCTTATTCTAATTATACAGGCACCCATATTAGTTGGTTTCGGGTTTTGGGTTTAGGCTTTCGGGTAGGGCCTTCTTCGTGAGGCCAAGCGCCAATTTGCCTTCGCCCCTTCCCGCCTATAGAGTCACAAAGCCAGTAGCATCACTCTCTTGTTCGGTGGCAAAGCAGCCAATGGGGGGATGAGCGCAGCAGATTCTTCGGTGCTCCACAATCAACACTACCGATCACTATTACCAGCAGCTGACAGCTAACAGTCAACGAACCAGGTCTGCTGCATATTGCAGCAATTACCCTGCATGATTTCTGGATGTATGCAGAGTGTGGAGAAGACATGAATCGGCTGGTGTCGAGGATTTCATGTAAGGGCCTTGGTATTTAGAAAGCTGTTGGGATGGACTACTGTAAACTATACTTTTATCTGTACAAGCAAATATGAAGACTAATCTAATTAGTGCAATTACATTATACAGAAACATAAGGGGACCACGTGGTTTCAAGTATTTCAGATCCCAAAGGTAGAGCCTCCGACATCCGAAACCCTCGGAGCGCACTTGTTTCGTCTGCCGCGGCTGCGCCTCCACCCTGCAAGTGTAAATCGAAGACCCGACATGGTTGTAGTTTAGTCCTGTGATTAGCGCTATTTCTGAACGCTCTTCGGCACGAAAATCCATGAGTTCTTACAAACTCAACCTCGTCTTTGCTTCTCCTAAACCCTGCTTCTCGAAGGTTAGGAAAAAGTTGTTCGCCGGCATTTCTTGCCGCTGAATGAACCTGGGCTTGCGCGGCGAACGCGTGCAGGGTTGGAGGCTGGGTGGAGGGTTTAAAGTCCATAGGGCAAGTTTAGGGCTAAGGCTCGCATGAAGCTTGCGAGTAAGATTAAATGCATCGGCGAGTCTTGAACAAACCCTAACCTAGACCCTAAACCCTAAAGTGAAAGATGGATGTTGCACATGCAGAACTGAAGTCCTTTTAACAGCTTCGCATGAGCCATCCCTGTGGGTACAGAACCTGCCCCAATAACCAGGCTTCAAACCTGAAGTGTAGTCGTGAATGAAGCTAAACTATGATCTCAGGCTGCAGCCTCCATTGCCAGATCTCTGTTCATTATCACCGGCAGCTAGGCTTGTCGTTTCACACACACACACACACACACGCACGCGCGCACCCATGTACACAACACAAACATGTAAGCGTTGCATGACATTACATTACATATACATGGACATAGATGCACTATCAGTAACAGTCTAACTATATCTTATTATCGGTATATCTACCTGTCAATCCGTCCACCTGTATATCCATATGTATGTCTCTGTATCTGCCGATCTACTTATCGACGCACGGCATGTATGTGTGTGTAAACGAATGAACAAGACTGGAAGAACTAATGAACGTATGAACGTATGTATGTACGTATACATGTCTGCATGTATGTATGTCTTGCATGTCTGCATGTATGTATGTATGTATGTACTTGCGTACGAGCATTCATACCTACCCACCTTCCACTTACATATATGCATAAACACCTGCATACATGCATACGCTCATAAATGCATAAATCCTGAATACATGCATACAGTCAAACAGACAGGCAGTGACAGACAAACAGACAGACTCGCATGCTCGCATGCATGCACGTATGCATGCATGCATGCATGGATGCATACATACATACATACATACATACATGCATACTGAACATACGCAATGCCTGACGACCCTAAGCTCCCTAAACCCTGCACTCCCTAAACCCTGAAGCCCTAAACCCTTACACCTTATGCACCCTAATTCCTAAACTCACTGAACCCGATACCCTACAACTGTGTGATGTCGTCAAAGGAGCTTGATGCCTTGCTTCTCGGCCTCAGCAGCAATGTCGGCGATATCTCGATAACCTCAGAGCTTAAAGGCTTCTTGCATGCAGTTTTGGTTACTTTAAGGGTTTAGGGTTGCTTTCTGGCTTCCTTTAAAGGGACCTTGTAGGGTGATGTGACGGTACTACTTCAGGGCTTACAGGAGCTTAGGGTTTAGGGCTGAGGGCTTACAAGGGCTTTACCATTTCGGGCCCCTCGGGACTCGAGTCTGATACGTACAGTAAAAATCGAGTCATTGGGCCTGTCTCCAACCCGCCCCAAATCAGGCTTTCAACGCTGAGCTCCTTAACCCCGGACCCTAGGTAAACTATGACCACTAAATACCGATCTCATGATCAGTGGCTCCCACTCCTTTATTAATTGTTCTCCCAATTACTTCCAGAATTTTTAAACCCAAACCCCGAACTCCTACAATTCCAGTGCAGTGACCCCATTCTGGATCCTGCGATCTCAGGCTCGCGTCGTCGTCGGCGTTGCTCTGAGTGGTGCATTTGCCATCGACCTGCAAGCCAGGTGCCACAGCAAGTAAACAGCGTTTAGGAGTTCAGAACCGGATTTAGGGCAATCAATGCAGGTTTGGGGACACCATGGCCTTGAAAGGACCGTACATAATCAGACGCCCCCCCTTGGCCAGGGCTTTCGCAGCCCCTGCGATGACACCGCAAGTCACCTCCGCCGGGCATTCATGTTTTGGCGTGCAAGTTCACGTCAATTAAATTCAGGTTTAGGGTCCAGGCTGTAGTAGGGTGATCCGGATGGGAATCACGAAGCATAGCGGCAATAGCAATAAAAACAGTCTTTGCTGCCGGTTGCCATCGCCTCTATGAACATGGCAGTCAGGCGACTAGCTTAAACTTATGATCATGTGCCTGCAGCTACCAGGCGGATTTCCAATTACAATCCTTCCTAGTACCCTTCCCGAAGGGTTCATGCAGGGTGAAGCATCGAAAAAGTTAAATAGGCTTCAAAAAAATGAATCAAAGGATCAATAAAAATCAAGAAAAGCAACAGCAAAAGTCACAGGAAATGCAACAATTCCTAGGACAATTTGCCTATGGCAGTTCTAGGGTTTAGGGTGGGTTTCGGGGTGTTCTACCTCGCAACGGTTTAGGCTTATTCTCATTCTCACGTACACGGACTTGCTCATTTGGGTGGTCGGAGGAAGGAGCATCGGGTATCTTAAACAGGCTCCGTCATTTCGCGGTTCGGATTCATCATAAATCTTAAACACACCCCGTCGTCTGGCGACTCCGGCTCATCCTATATCTTAAACACGCCGCCTCATAGGCGATTCCGGTTCAATCATATACAAAAACACGCCCTCTTACTTAAAGGATTCATGATATCTCTACAACACGCCCCCCCGTTCACGATTCTGGTTTATCATCTATTTGAAACATGCCCCCCCTTACTTGGCGATTCGGGCTCTTCATATATATCTTAACCATGCTGCCTCGTTTGGCGAGTCCGGATTCATCATGTATCTTAATTAAGGCGCCCTCTCGTTTGGCGATTCCGGTTCATCATATCTACAACACGCCCCCTCATTTGGCGATTCCGATTCCTCATATATCTACAACACGCTGTCTCATTCGGCGTTTCCTGTTCATAGTATATTTTAAACACACCCCTTCATTTGGCGATTCCGGTTCCTCATACATCTTAAACACGCCCCCTCGTTTGGCGATTCCGGTTCATCCCATAGCTTAAACACGCCCCCTCATAGGCGATTCCGGTTCATCTTTTATCTTAAACACCCCCCTCATTCGGGTTTAGGCTTGGTGTTGCCTTGTTGGTTGAGTTTAAGATGGGCTAGATTATTCATGAAGTATGTGTCTAGGGTTGCCTTGTTGAGTTTATGGAGATTATACCTAAAGTATATGTATAGAGTTAGTTGCCTTGTTGAGTTTATAGGTTGAATTGGTCGGCTGGGCGGATCTTAAAGCGGAGCGCACTATGGTGCTAGCTCCCTCCCCCCTTTCCAACCCTGAAAACCTGCAAAGACCCTGCGGTCACCCCTAACACCGCAAGCCAAAACCTCTGGCTTAGGGTTTAGGATTTAGGATCGTTAAACCCTCAACCCCGGAACCCATGCTCGACCAAAACTCCTGATAGGAAATCTACCCGAGGGCTACCATAGTGCAGTTTTGGCGATTGTTTCCCTGTTCGATAATCGAAGTGAAAAGCAACATCCCAGCCTTCCATGGGCTGATGTGGGTCACGTCGGACAGGTATACTATGGTGAAGTCACCGGCCAAGCTCTGAACCTGGTGGTTCTGCCAAATGAAAAGGAAAGGGATGCGGGGTTCTTTCTTGCTTAGGATTTGTTTTTTGTCGGGTGTTGGGGGTGGGGGGGTGGATTGGTGGGGTAGGTGGGCACACGGGTGGGTGGGTCGTTATGGCCGAGAAGCCGACTACTAAACCAGCGTTGCGACCCGACTGGCCCGAAACCTGAAGCCTAAACCCCGAATCCCCAAGTGCCTGCAACTCCAACAAGCCCTATGACGAGAGCCAAAACACGAGCTCACAGAACCTGAAGCCTTGCAACCAGAAATATCCTGAACCCTAATGCGCCTGATATATATATATATATATATGCATATATATATATATGCAATATCAATGTCTATATCTTTATCTTACAGCTATACATGCTGATTACTACTTACAGACACTTTCAGAGGACGCTGTTACCACTAGACCTCCATTTTCGCACCAGAGGCCTTGAAATGCCAGATGCTGTGAACCCTGACCCTAAACCCTAAACCCTAAACCCTAAACCCTATAAACCCTAAACCCTAAACCCCTCAACCCTAAACCCTATAAACCCTAAACCCTAAACCCTATAAACCCTAAACCCTAAACCCTAAACCCTATAAACCCTAAACCCTAAACCCTAAACCCTATAAACCCTAAACCCTAAACCCTAAACCCTATAAACCCTAAACTGAACCCCAAACCCGAGACCTCAGACCTTCAATCTGAAACCTTGAATCCTAAACCTGTAGCCGGTTTAGGGTTTAGGGTTTAGGGAGTTTAGGGTTTAGGGAGTTTAGGGTTTGGGGTTTAGGGTTTAGGGACCCGAAACAAAAACTTTATCCCAAAAGCCTTAAACCCTATAAACCCTAAACCCTAAAGCCTGATTAAACCTTATACCAAAGCCCTAAAGCCCTGAGCCCCTAAACCCTAGAGCCCTACAGCCCTAAAGCCAAAGCAGCCCTAAACCCTAAAGTCCTAAACCCTAAAGCCCTAAAGCCTAAACCCTAAAGTCCTAAACCCTAAAGCCCTAAAGCCTAAACCCTAAAGCCCTGAGACACGAAAATTTCGAGCCCGGGCCTCGGTCGGCCACTCCTCCCACGGGGTGGAGGCGTCCAGCGCAAGCGCTGGCTTCACATTGGGCAACGTCTGAGGGGCTTAGTGCTGTTAGGGCTTTGAGGGTTTAGGGCTTCAGGTTGAGATTTTTTTTGGGGGGTGGAAGGGTGTAGGGGTTTAGGGGCTGATAGGATTTAGGGCTTGAGGGTTTAAGTTCGGGGCTTGAGGGGTTTACGTTACTTGGCTCTGGGCTCTGTTTTTCATTCTTGGGACGATTGAACTTTCACTATTGCAAGTCCCCAACACTCCCGCAGTAGGTCTTGCTTGTGTTATGTATATACTTGGTGTCGGGGTAATAAGCCAGCGAGGTCCGAAAACGCCAGGTTAATGGAGATCTACTCAACGAAGTTGGCGTGGAAGCGCCTTCGACGGTGAATCCGGACAGACGGAAGACCCCTGCAATATAGTGGGTCCTCTCGAGTAGTACTGATCTCCGATCACATTATGCACATGCACTAAAACCCTCTTCAAATTATTCAGGCCCCTGTACAATTGTGAATCACGCCCCCAAGTCGACGACAGTCAGAAACAAACAAGCCCGAGACGCCCAAAGCCCCAGACCAGAAAGCTCAACTTCTTATCAAAACTCCTACACCCAGTGAATCGGGTAACAGCCCGGCAGGGGACCCTTGCACCGACGTGGTCGATGCGCTTGCACCTTGTAGCGACGATGTCGATGTCCTTACAGGGGAATGCTGTCACGATTGTCGCTGTCGCCGTGGTTTTCGCTGCTGCCCCGCCAAGCAGAACTCTACATCCTGAGAACAAGTCGAATCGAAATCTGTCCATGCATTTCTGGTGCGTGTATGTGTTTTCTGTATCTCTGCATGTGAGCCTGTGTCTATATCCAGGTATGTGGTATTTGTACATGCACATGTAGACAGGTTGACTGATTGATTGATTGGTTGATTGGCTGATTGGTTGATTAGTTGACCAGTTGATTGGTCGATTGGTCGATTGATTGATTGGTTGATTGCTTGATTGCTTGATGGCTTGGTGGCTTGATTGCTGGATTGCTGGATTGCTTGCTTGCTTGATTGATTGATTGGCTGATTGAGTGATTGCTTGCTTGATTGCTAGGTAGATAGATAGATAGGTAGATGCATTAGATAGACATGTCTGTGTATGTGTATGCATGGACGTATGTATTTATGTATGTATACATACATATGCATAGATACATACATATATGCACATGTGTGTGTACACATGTGTCTACCCGTGGACTGTATGTATGCTCTCGGGTCCCGGGCCCCGCACCCCCAGGAAGACAGGGAAAGCAACAAGGCCAAAGAAGACTACTCACTTGACAGGCAAGGGCGGGATACCATGGGGCGGTGGGGTGAGGGGGGGGGTGCAGCAGCCATGTATCATGTATATGTCACTGTCTGTGTGTGTGTGTGTGTCTGTTTTTCCATGCGTGTGTATGTGTGTACAGGTGTGCACATGTGTATCTACCTATCTATGTATACATCTCAATCTCTCTGCCTTTCAGCTTAACTTATCTGTCCAGCGCACGAGAGAGAGAGAGAGAGAGAGAGAGAGAGAGAGAGAGAGAGACAGAGAGAGAGAGCGAGAAAGAGAGAGAGACAGAGAGAGAGAGAGAGCCAGAAAGCCAGAGACCCCTAGAGCCAGAGCGCCAGGGAATGTCTTCACTAGACCGACACATGCATACCAACACACCGACAGACCAACAGACCGACCGACAGACAGACAGAAAGGACAGAGAGACAGACAGACGATCAAACGTTCATGCATACGTATGCAAGTACCTAGCTACTACCGAACGAACGATCTAGCGAACGAAACGGACCGTGCATATTATGGTGAGGTCTACGTAACATCATACCGAGTTGCATGCAAGTGTGTATGTATATATGTATATATATATATATATATATACATACATATGTATATATATATATATATATACATATATTATAGAAGTATATCTATATGTAACCTACATATCTGTATTTATGTGTGCACAGGCACATGCGCACCCAAATGACCCAAAGCATCTCACACACTCGCACACACTCTCTCGCGCTCTCTCTCTCTCTCTCTCTCTCTCTCTCTCCCTCGCCCTCTCTCTCTCTCTCTTTCTCTCTCTCTCTCTCTCTCTCTCTCTCTCTCTCTCTCTCTCTCTCTCTCTGTATCTCCCCATGCACATCTGCATGTTTGCTACGCATGCACAACTTCCACGCCACCACTGCTGCCGCCTTCGTTTACGCCCTCGGTTGCAACATCACAAAGTGCACATTCACTACCTGTGTGCGCTCTAAGGGGGCACTAGCAGTCACTAGCAGGTGGCACACAGACAGTCGAACCCTGAACCTTCCCAAAGGGTGCAAGCAACATTGTAGTAGGTACTTAACATGCATTTGAACCCCAAAGTATGTACTAGCCATAGGCCCCATAGTAGTTCCTGTTGTGGATTACCTTTTAAAATTCGGCCTCTGAACCCCAAAAGAACTACTATGGGGCCTATGTACCGACTCTGGTATAGAATATTACTTGGACCCTTTGGGCTTGAACCCCAAACAACAGAAGGCCTACAACCCTAAACCCAAAACCCTGAACCCTGCCCCTAAACCCTGAACCATAAACCCAAAACCCTGAGCCCCAAACAACAGAAGCCCTACAAAGACACCCGGGTCGCAGGCCTTGAGGTCGGTCATGCCCGCGAACTTTACACACTCAGTGGGCTGCCACTGCAGTTTCCTGGGAACTCTGGGGTTTGGGATTTAGAGGTTTAGGGTTTAGGGGGTTTAGGGGGTCTAGGGCTTCGGATTTAGGGGTTCGGGATCAGAGTGTAGGGTTCCAGCGCTTGGTTCCAGCGCTTGGGGTTGAGGCAACGGCTCCGAGAGCTCATGCGGCTAGTTCCGATCGGAGCTTTACCGCAGAAGTATGTGCGGAATGTTTCGTCCAAAACGAGACCCGTAGAGGCCTGGATCCAAGCCTCAATCGTACCCATAGGCCCCATGGTAGTTCCTGTTTAGGGTCCATACGTGGAAGCCTATAAGGTAGTCCCAACAAGGAACTACTATGGGGCCTATGGTTAGAGGCCTGGATCCAAACCCTAAACCCTAAACTCCCAGAGTTTCCATCAAGAAGCGGCAGCGCCGTGGCAAAGAACTCAGCGTGACAACCACTGCCAGAACCGATCTCCAGCACCATTCCTTCTGCTTGGAGCTTGGGTTTGATGAGGTTACTTGGAGGTTCATGGGTAGTTATAAGTAGGGTTATAGGTCCCCTAACATGAGTTGTAAGTATAGTTACCCTACTTATAACCCCACTTATAACTACCCATGAACCTCCAAGTAGGACCCCAGCTAACCCAACCGAGACTCCCGACCCGGAAGCCCTGAACCCTCACTCACAAACCCTCGAACCCTCGTACACGATATGTGACCATCAGAAGCCTAAAACTCTAAAGCCTGAACCCTAAAACGCTGAACCCGAAACCCAAAACCCAACCATCAGAAGCCAAAAGCCCTAAACCCTAAACCCTAAACCCGAAACCCAAAACCCAACCATGTGCCCCTGCCTGACCCATCCTCAGGGAGCTCTTTGCGGAGCACCTTACGGACCATGGAAATCCCAAACCTTAGACCCGATCCCTAAACCCGGAGAAACCCCTAAACCCTAGCTTTTGCCGAAGGGAGAGGCCTCTGAGCTTGCCCTGTCGTTCGATATCGTGCTTAGGCTTTACCCATAGGCCCCAAAGTAGTTCCTTTTTTGTGGTTCATATATAGAATTCTTTAAGGATAAAGTAAGTCCAAAAGGAACTACGGGGCCTATGGGTAGGGTTTTGGGTTGTGGTTTACGGTTGGGTGGCTCTTGGCATGTCTGGTGCCTGCACTTTGGCTTTAAATTGTCGATTGACTTTGACACCCTAAACCCTAAACCCTGAAGCGCGGATTTGCGTTTGGGGATGTCTTGCGGAGTCTGGACTGGCGGCTTTCTGCGTGTTGGTTGTTAAGGGTTACTATAAGGGTTACTATAAGGGCTATTATAAGGGTCATACTATTATAGGGGTTTAAGGTTCTTAGTAGGGAATGGGGGAATGGGTTATAGAGGCTACTATAGGGGACCTTATGGGATGATCATAGGGATCCATTCCCCCATTAATCCCTACTAAGAACCCTAAACCCCTATAGTATGACCCTTATAGTAGCCCTTATAGTAACCCTTATAGTAACCCTTAAAGGAACCCCATTCCCTACTAAGCACCAGACAGTTGTGGGTCATACTGTTCGACTTTACACGAGGTGTGCATGGGCATCCCCTGCTCCTTTATAGAAGGGCCTGACGTAGATAAACGTTCGGGTGCCTTACACTGAACAAACCCAGAAGGCCCAGAAGCACTGAGCCTCGAAAAACTATGTCCTGCAAGGCTTGAAAAATCCCTAACAAACCTGCACCTTAAACCCGAATAACTATAACCCTAAACCCTGAATCCACAAACTCTAAAAGAAGGCTTACATCCTACACCCTACTCCCTAAACACGAACCCTTAAAGAAACCCTTAACTACAGGCCTCCAGAATCGGTCCCCGATTTTGCTTCGCCGAGGTAGGGTGAAAAGCATCGTAGTGCATCTGCATGGCCCTGCAGTGGGAGGCCCAGTGGACTTAGTAAAATTAAGGCAACTAAGGTTCCTTGAAGGCTTCATAAAAGACATCTGCAAGGGTTCTATAAGGGAGTTTAGGGGCTCCAAGGGGACTTAGTAGGTCGGTTAGAAGTAGGGTTATAATTGGGGTAACTCCATTTAGGGTGCGTAGGATGCTATCTATACTGATAGAACTGCAGCTACAACCTTTCTAGAAGCTTAGTTGTTACTACTTTACTGCAGCTGAAGCCTGACCAGAGGCCTATGTTTTACTACTTTACTGCGGCTACAGCCTGAGCAAGGGCCTCGTTTTTACTACTTTACTGCAGCTTCAGCCGTATTAGAGGCCATTTTTGATACTTTACCGCACTACAGCCTTAGTAGAGGCCAAGTTTTTACCTCCAGGCCCGGAGCGCGGATATGCTGGAGCTTCCAACTTTACGTGCCAGGCTAAAGTTGGAAATCTGGCTCTGTAGCGCGATTTGTCCTTTACGAGGTTTCCCAAAAAACCGCGCCTAAACCCTAAACCCTATTATCGCTTACAGGGCTCAGGGCTTAGTTCAGGGTTAGGGGTTTAGGATTTCAGGGCTTTGAGGATGTCGAGGGTGTAGGGCTTAGCATTGAGGGTAAACTGGCTGCATGATGCATTTCTTTACATTCTTCTTAATTCAAGCCTTGAAGACTGAGCAGCTGTTGTTTGAGTGCAGCACAAGCTACAATAGAGGCCTTAACAATCAATTAGAATAGGGGTTTAGGGTTTAGGGTTTTGGGGAAGATTATATCGCAACTAGAATGAGGAACCTCCAAACTAGAGTAGGAAATAATTTCGGCCTCAAGAGTAGACTGTGGTACATGCACGCTAGCAGAGCCGCAGATACCAAAACAGCACGAGGCCCAAACGAGCATTATCTGTCAAAAGCTTATGCGGCAACGCTCAAACCCATGCGCTCCCATAGGTGCATTAACAATTAGCATAGGGTTTGGGGATATATATGTGTATATATATATATATATACAATAACTTTAGTAATTAAGGAACCCTCAAAACCCTATTCTGATCACTAAAGCCCCTTCACTAAAGCCCCTACATTAGGTTTGTGACTTGATTCAAGCTTGCAACCAGCTCAGCCGGACGGCACTTCAACCTTAGAGCCTTGAGGCTTATAGGGCTTAGGGTTTTTCTTTCCATGCCTTACATAGTATAGGGGCCTTAATGATTAGAATAGGATTTTGGGGCTCATTATACTATATATAGTTATAATAAGGAACCCCCCCAAATAATGTGGGTTCCATGCTTGGTCTCCGGCTTGGATGCTGTGCCCGCACAGGCTGTTTGTGGCCATCAGGGCCTCGCAATCGTCTCACTTCTGTACGAATATCCAACATATACCGCCAACGAACCCACAGTATGTAGTAGTAGTAGAAGAAGTGGTAGTATTAGTAGAAGTAGAAGTAGAAGTAGAAGTAGTAGTAGTAGTAGTAGTAGCAGGAGTAGTAGTAGTAGTAGTAGTAGTAGTAGTAGTAGTAGTAGTAGTAGTAGTAGTAGTAGTAGTAGTAGTAGTAGTAGTAGGAGCAGGAGCAGGAGCATCAGCAGCAGCAGGAGCGGGAGCGGGAGCGGGAGCGGGAGCAGTAGCAGTAGCAGCAATGCAACGGTTACTGCTTGCTTTGAACCGTCGATGGTGTTGGCTTCTACTAGTCGAACAGTCTCTCTCGCATAACTATGATGAAGGTTTCGACCTCTTGCACCCTAGCGTCAGTTCGACATGCTATTGTTGCTGTAACTAACAGCCACCATAGTTTGTTTTAGCGACCTCGCTTGACATGTTTGAATGATTCAACTCCACATTGCCTGTCCAGCGACCCTGATAACAAGCCCTTCAGCAGCTTGACTTCCTGGTCCTAGTGCTTCGCCGTTGCATTATTGACGAAGTCACAGACGACCCAAGACAGCCAATAGCTAAGTAGTTTCAACAACTGCGAAACCGCATAAACCACAAGAAAGCCAGAGGCCAAGAACAGCTAATTCCCACCAATCACTCGTTCAGGGGTTCAAGGTTTATGACATCGAGTTCCCAAGGGCCCAGGGCCTGCTTGAAGGATCAAGGGGCTGAGAAGGCTGCGTGTATGGGTTTTAGCCTTTAACTTTTAAGAGTTTAGGCTTAGCGCTTGCGTTGCGTATTTATGGTTCAGGGCAGGCTTGCAAACAAAACTGCTACACCAGAGGCGGGCTTGCCGCCTGCTGCGAGATGCAATGCCTGAGTATTCTCGTGCAAATGGCGTTCCTTCCCCCTTAACAGCAATCAGCCAGATCTTAATTAACATCGTAGCTGCTTCATTTGTGATGGTTTAACCTACAAATCCTCAGCGCCTCACCGAAACTCCTCCGCCGGCAGCACACCCATGTGCATTCACACGAACGAATCAAACTTGGGCATTTCTATGGCGATGACTGACGCATCTTAGGCCAAGATGTGGATGTGGGTTGATGTTCTGCGGCTCTTGCAATTGCGATGATGGCGGCACTACTGGTGCTGGCAGCAGCACACTGCCTGTACGATGGCTACTGCCACCACCAACCACTACTGATAGTTGCAACCTCAGTTCCATCGTTTATTCCGTAGCGTCTTGTATCCACCATCAGTATCATTCCCTAATACTAATGTTCAGTATTCTGCAATAATCTCTATGCCTAGTGCTTTTGTGATTGCTGCTCTCAGACTCAATCCTGAGCCTTGAAGGCCACCTTTGCAGGCTCTGCCGCTTCGGGAGCCGCTGCTGGCTTCCAGTGAGAAAGGGGGCAGCGGCTTTTAGTGTTTAGGTTTTTTGTTTTTCTTTAAGGGCCCTTTTTCTGTCTGCAGGGTTTAGGGTTCAGGGTTTAGGGTTTCGAGATTTCCCTGGAAGATGGGCACTTTTCGAGGGGGTTTGGGGCACTACTTGAGGTCGGGCTTGGGATTTACGCTTTCGGGCAAGGCCGCCAAGGCTTTTTTGGAAGGCAAAGCGCCAAAACTATGTCTGCGCGCCTATAGAGTGACAAAGCCACTAGCATCGCTCTCTTCTTCGGTGTCGGTGGCAAGACAGCCAAGGGGGGCGGGCTAGTGCATCAGATTCTTTGGTGCTCCACAACCAGCAAACCAGGTCTACTGCATGGTCCAATTCTTACCCGCTATGATTTCGGGATGTATGCAGAGTGTGTCGAAGACATGATTCAGCTGGTGTCGAGGATGTCATGTAAGGGCCTTGGTATTCGAAAGCTGTTGGGATGGGTTACTGCAAACTATACTTTGTACAGGCCAATATGAAGACTAATCTAATCAGTACAATTACATTATACAGAACCTGGGGACCACGTGGTTTCAAGTATTTCAGATCCCAAAGGTAGAGCCTCCGACATGCGAAACCCTCTGAGCGCACTTGTTTCGTCTGCCGCGGCTGCTCCTCCACCCTGCAACTCAAAATCGAAGACCCGACATGGTTGTAGTTTAGGCTTGTGATTAGTGGTTGCTGGTCTATTTCTGAACGCTCTTCGGCACGAAAAATCCATGAGTTCTTACAAACTCAACCTCGTCTTTGCTTCTGAACCCTACACTCCACACCCCTCACTGCTTCTCGAAGGTTAGGAAAAAGTTGTTCGCCGGCATTTCTTGCCGCTGAATGAACCTGGGCTTGCGCGGCGAAAGCGTGTAGCCTGACGACCCTAAGCTCCCTAAACACTGCACTCACTAAACCCTGAAGCCCTAAACCCTTACACCCTAAGCTCCCTAAATCCTAAACTCCCAAACCCCTAAACCCACAACTGTGTGATGTGGTCAGAGGGGCTTGATGCCTTGCTTCTCGGCCTCAGCAGCAATGTCGGCGATATCTCGATAACCTCACAACTTTAAGGCTTCTTGCATACAGTTTTGGTAAATTTTAAGGTTTAGGGTTGCTTGCTGGCTTCCTTTAAAGGGACCTCCTAGGGTACTATGACGGACAAGAAGGGCTTACAAGAGCTTTACCATTTTGGGCCCCTCCGGACTCGAGGCAGATACTTACAATACAAATGGTGTAATTGGGCCTGTCTTCAACGGGCCCCAAATCAGGATTTCAACACTGAGCTCCTAAACCCCGAACGTTAGTTCAACTATGATCATCAAATGCTGATGTCATAATTATTGGCCCGCATTCCTTTTTTCCTCCCAACTACTGCAGCCCTGAAGTATCCTGAATTCTTATAACCCCTAACTACGATCCTACAGTTCCAGTGCGGTGACCCCATTCTGGGTCGCGCGATCTCAGGCTCGCGTCGAAGTCGGCATTGCTCTGTGGGGTGCACTTGCCATCGACCTACAAGCCAGGTGCCACAGCAAGAAAACAGCGTGTAGGAATTCAGAACGGGATTTAGGGCAATTAACGGAGGTTTGGGGACACCATGGCCTTGAAGGGACCGTAGATGATCAGACGCCCCCCTTTGGCCAGGGCTTTCGCCGCCCCTGCCATGACACCGCAGGTCACCTCCGCCGGGCGTACAGGGTTTGGCGTGCAGGTTCAAGGCAATTAAGTTGAGGTTTAGGGAGGCTGTAGTGGGATAATTCGGATGGGAATAACGAAGGATAGCAGAAAGAGCAATAACAACAGTCTTTGCCGCCTGTTGCCATCGCTTTCATGAACATGGCACTCAGACGACTAGTCAACTTCTGATCATATGCTCGTAGCTACAAGACGGATTACCAATCACAATCCTTCGGTCCATGTTACGTGTAACTAGTACAACATATATGAAAAAGATAATTGTATATAGTATGTATCTACATATTAGCTATATATGTTTGTTATATGAGACATATAGAAATACTAACACACACACGCACACACACACACACACACACACACACACCCACTCCCACTCCCACTCCCACTCCCACTCCCACTCCCACTCCCACTCCCACTCCCACTGCCACTCCCACTCCCACTCCCACTCCCACTCCCACTCACACTCACACTCACACTCACACTTACACTCACACTCTCACACACACGCACACACCCACTCTCACTCACACTCACACTCACACTCTCACACACACGCACACACACACACACACACCCTATGTGGGCACATGGACATTGTCACGGCTACGATGAAGCTGAGGAGATAGCTTGGGCTCTTCTTCGAATCGAGTGCTCTTGGCCACATCTTGAAGGGTTGGGCTTTGGATCTGTAAACCCTCAAAACCCTCAACCCCTGAACCCATGCTAGACCCAAATTCCGGATGAGAAATGGGATCTACCTGCTGGGCTACCATCGTGCAATTCTGGGGTTGCTTGTCCTGGTCGATGACCGAAGGCAAAGTGATCAGCAACATCTCAGCCTTCCATGGGCTAATGTGGGTCACGTTGGACATGTACACCATGGTGAAGTCACCGGCCAAGCTCTGAACCTGGCGGATCTGCCGGGAAATGGATGCGGGTTCTTTCTTGCTTAGGATTCGTTTTTTGTCGGGGGTGGGGGTCTGGAGGTGGAGTGGTGGGGTAGGTGGGCACACGGGTGGGTGGGTCGTTATAGCCCTAAGACTCCATGTGCCCATATAGTAGGTACTTAGGCCTTAAAGGGGTCCCTATAGGGGTACTTTAAGGCCTAAGTACCTACTATATGGGTACATGGTACTTAGGCCTTAAAGGGGTCCCTACAGGGGTACTTTAAGGCCTAAGTACCTACTATATGGGTACATGGAGCATTTGGGTAGCCGAGAAGCCGACCGGCCCTAAACCCCAAATCCCCAAGTGCCCGCAACTCCAGCAAGCCCTGCGACGAGCTCTCTCAACCTGAAGCCTTGCAACTGCAAATACCCTAAACCCTAAAGTGCCTGATATGTAATAGTTATTTATCTCTATATCTTTACCACATACCTATATAATATATAGGTATATGTATATATATATATATACATATATATATATATATACTTCTTGCAGGCTCTTTCAGAGGACGCTATTTATCCCCTACCATTTCACCTCTATATATTCGCCCAGAGGCCCCGAAATGCCAGATGCTGCGAACCCTGAGCACTCTGAACTCTAAACCTGAGACTTTGAATCCTCAAACCCTAAACCGTGAATCCTAAAACCTAAACCTTAAACTGTGAATACCTTAAGCCCCAGACCCGTATTCCTTAATTACGCCCTAAACCCTTCTTTCACGCCTAAACCCTAAATCTTAAACCGCAAGCGCTAAACCCAAGACCCTAACCTTAACCCCTATAGAACCTAAACCCTCAACCCTAAAATTTCCAAAGCCTAAGACCCTGAACCCTAAAACCCTAAGCCTAAAACCCTAAGACCCTAACCCTAAGACCCTAAACCTCGGGCCCGAGCCTCAGTCGGCCACTCCTCCCACGGAGCGGAGGCGTCCAGCGCAAGCGCTGGCTGCACATTGGGCAATGCCTGGGGCGCTTAGGGTTTTTAGGGTTTCGGGCTAAGGGCTGTTTTAGAGGTTGGCGTTTGGTGTTTTCGGGATAGAACGGTACAGGGGTTTAGGAGCTGATAGGGTTTGTGGCTTGAAGGTTTTGGTTCGGGGCTTTACGGGTTTAGGGTACTTGACTGTCAAAGCTTGTTTAGGGGCTCTGGGTCTTGAGTCTTGGGACCTTTGAACTGTAACTGCTGCAAGACCCCAACAATCCCAGAGGACGTAGGCATGGTGTTATGTATTTGGCGTCGCAGGGAAAGGGAATAAGCCAACGAGGTCCGACAACACAGACATCTACTCAACGAAGTTGGCCTGGAAGTGGCTTTGATGGTGAATCCGGACACACGGAAGACCCCTGCAACATGGTGGTCCGTTCAAGGTAGTAACCTCCCCTCGTATCATTCGCATGCACCAAAACCCTCTTGTCATTATTCAGGCCCCCGTACAATTGTGAATTTCCCCCCCCTGCCGGTCGACAACAGTCAGGAACAAACCCGAGACCCCAATGACCAGAAGGTTCAACATCGTATCAAGACTCTCACACTCAGTGAAACGGGTAGCACACACTCAGTTGAACGGGTAACACCCCGGCAACGGGACCTTTGCACCGACGATGTCGATTTCCTTGCAGGGGAATAGTGTCACGCTTGCCGGTGCTGTCTATGTGCAGGTATGTGGTGTTTGTACATACATACAGATAGATAGATCGATAGACAGATAGATAAAGATAGATGCATTACTTAGATAGAGATATATACATATACATATGTGTGTGTGTGTGTGGGTGGTGTGTGTGTGTGTGTGTGTGTGTGTGCGTGTGTGGGTGTGTGTGTGTGTGTGTGGGTGTGTGTGTGTGTGTGTGGTGTGCGCGCTTGTCGCATATGTATGCATGTATGCATGTATGTATGTATGTACGTGAGGTATGCATGTACGTATGTGTGCATGCTTGTATGTATGTAAGCATGTATGTATGTGTGTATGTATGCATGTATGCATGTATGTATGCATGTAGACATAAGTGAATATGTATACATATACATACATATATGCACATGTGTGTAGACTTGTCTGCATGTGGACACAATAAATGAAAAAAACAGTACATATATATATACATATGTATATGAGATGTATATGTATATACATATATGTCACTATCCGTGTGTGTTTGTCTGTGCGTGTTTATGCGTGTACATGCGTGCACATGTCCTGTCTTGAGACTTAACTAGTCTGCCCAGCCCGACACAGGGGAGAGAGAGACAGAGAGAGTCCCAGAGAGAGGCAGAGACAGCGCGCGCACGAGAGAGAGAGAGAGAGAGAGAGAGAGAAAGTGTGTGTGTGTGTGTGTGTGTGTGTGCGCGACAGCGAGACATGAATTTGCAGGCACAGATGTCTGCATGCATGGCTTAGTATGTGAATATGTGCACATGTATACGATTGCACGAACGCTCTTTCTACACATGTCCTCACTAGACCGACACATGCATACCAACACAACAAGCAGACAGTCGTGCACAATCACAGACAGACAGACAGACAGACAGACAGACAGACAGACAGACAGACAGACAAACAGACAAACGAACAGGCAGACAAACATAGAGACAAACAATCAACAACTTCATGCATATGTATGCAAGTACGTACGACGTACCTGTTACCGAACGAACGAGCCAGCGAACGAAACGGAATATGCAGGTTTTGGTGAGGTCTACATAATACAATACAGAATTACATGCAACTGTATATACGTATGTGTATGTATATATACATAGAATCTTGTACACGTAAACAACATTTCTGTATTTATGCGTGCACAGACAAATGCACAACCCAATGGCCCAATGCATCTCACACAGTCGCACAAACTCTCGCTCTCTCTCTCGCTCTCTCTCTCTCTCTCTCTCTGTCTCTCTGTTTGTCTTTACCCATGCATGTACAAACGCTACACTACTCAACTACGTCCATGCTGCCGTCTTCGTTACCGGCCTCGTGGCACACAGCCAAGAAAAACCCTAACTTAACCTACCAGAACCTACTTTTTTGTAGGTTCTTGTTTTAAATCCTACGTACTATGGAAGGATATGGAAGGTATAGGGACCCTGCAAGAAAGCAGGTTCTGGTGGGTTAAACCTTGAACCCCAAACAACGGAAGCCCTACAAAGACTCGGGGAGCAGTCCTAAACCCTAAACCCCGCACCCTAAACTCTAAACCCTAAACCCTGAACCATAAACTAAAAACCCTAAACCCTGAACCCCACGCAACAGAAGCCCTACAAAGACCACAGGGAGCAGTCCTTGAGCACAGCCATCCCTGTGAGCGCCACAAACTCTGTGGGCTGCCACTGCAGTTTCCTGGGAACTCTGAGGTTTAGGGTTCCTAAACCCTAAACCCTAAACCGCTATAGGGTCTAGGGGGTCGAGGGTTTAGGCTTTAGGATTTAAGGGTCTAAGGTTTAGAGGTTTAGGGTTTAGGGCTTCGGGTTTAAGGCTTAGGATTTAGGGGTTCGGGCTCAGAGTGTATAGGGTTCGAGCACTTGGGGTTGATGCAACGGTTCCGAGCGCTCATGCGGCTAGTTCCGATCGGAGCTTTACCGCAGAATTTTAGGGTTCAGGGTTTAGGAATGTTTCGTCCACAACGAGATCCGTACCCAGAGGCCCCATGATAGTTCTTTTGTAGGGTTCATATGTAGAGTCCTATATTGTAATCCCAGCAAGGAACTACTATGGGGCCTATGGGTAGAGGCCTGGATCCAAACTCCCAGGCCCAAGAGGGTCCAAATACACTACTATTATGGACTTAGGTCCCAAAAGCTTTCATGGGGATTGTCTTTAGGGACTTAATTTCATGGCAGTGTATATGGACCCTTTGGGAGAGTTTCCATCAAGAAGCGGCAGCACCGTGGCAAAGAACTCAGCGTGACAACCACTGCCAGACCCGATCTCCAGCACCATTCCTTCGGCTTTGAGGGCTTAGGGCTTAGTGGGGTTTGGGGGTTTAGGGGTTTAGGGGTTTAGGGTGTAGGGCTTATGGCTTAATGGGGTTTAGGGGTTTAGGGTTTGGGGTGTGGGGGTTAGGGTTCAATGGGGTTTAGGGGTTTAGGGTTTGGGGTGTGGGGGTTAGGGTTCAATGGGGTTTAGGGGTTTAGGGTGTAGGGTTTAGAGGTTTAGGGTTTAGGGGTTCATGGGGTTAGGACTTTGAGGGCAAGGAGTTGAGGCGGCGGATGTTCCGGTGCGGAAAGATGCCTTGGTTTAGGGTTTAAGGTTTCAAAAAGGCTAGGATTTGGGGTTGAGGATGGTTTAGCGTTTACACATAGGCCCCATAGTAGTTCCTTTTTGGGATTATAGGATTCTACATATGAACCACAAAAAGGAACTACTATGGCGCCTTTGGGCAGGGTGGGGACTGTTCCTATGCCCAGGGAACTGACGCAAACTTCAAGGAGCCCTACTAACTTACCAAAGTACAGACAATCTTCGAGTTGGGTGTTTCATCAATAACGTCGGGTGCCTGTAGTCTCGAACTCTGTAAAATGTAGGATCTACAACGTGCGATGTCCCTTGCAAGGGCATGGACTTGAGAGTTTAGGGCTTTGGGACTGGGGTCAGCAGGCAGGGGATTAGGTTTCAGTGGTTCAGGACTCATCCGAGTCTAGGGCGTGCAGCGGGAGGCCTTGACCCGCATACGATCATACGATGGACTCGCAAAGGAAGCTATAACCCCAACCCAAACTAGGCACACGATATAAAAACCCGGATCCTACAAAATCTTTTTTTGCATGTATTCAGAAACCCTTCTGTCGCCCTAGTAATTTTAAACTAAAATCCTACAACATAGCCCTGGAGCCCGGAAACCCTGAAGCCTGGAACCCTTTCACCCCAGCTATCCCAACCGAGACTCCGAACCCTTGCACCCTCACTCACAAGCCCTCGAACCCTCGTACACGATTTGTAACCATCAGAAGCCTAAAGCCCTAAACCATAAACCCTGAACCCTAAACCCTAAAGCCATTCTGCCCCTGCCTGACCCATCATCAGGGAGCTCTTTGCGGAGCACCTTATGGAAATAGGAGTTCCTAAACCCTAAACCCCTAAAAACCCTAAACCCTTCATCCTAAACCCCTATAAACCTTTAACCCCGAACCCTGAACCCCCAAAAACCCAAACCCTAAACCCCTACATAAACCTTAAACCCTAAACCCAAAAATCTAAAACCCTAAACCGCAGCTTCTGCCAAGTGGAGAGGGCTCCAAGCTTGCTGGGTCGGTCGGGGGAGCTGTCGGTATCGTGCTCAGGCTTTGGGGTTTACTACTTAGAATAGGGGCTGCTTTAAAGGGATCCTTTAAAGGGGTCGATCGGGATCTATAGGGAATCTATAGTAGGGTTCCATGAGAAAAGGGCCTGAATTATTAGAATAGGGTTTCGGGGCCCATTATGCTACACTATAATAAGGAACCCCACATAGTAGTGTCCATTATTAAGGCCCCTATCTATATTAGGCTTGAGTTTGAACTGCGGAATGGCGTTTGGGGCCGCCTTGCGAGGTGCGCAATTGCGGCTTTCTGTGGGTTGGTTTTATGTTTATACCTGCTTGGGTCTTCCTGTTCGACTTTACGTGAGGTCTGCATGCGCAACCCTTGCATGTGTCATTGAAGGGCCTGAATTAGATGTAAGCTCGGGTGCTTTACACTGAACAAACCCGGAAGCACTGAACCTCGGAAAGCCAAGTCCTAGACGGCCTAAAGAATCCCAAACAAACCTGCACCTTAGACCCGAATAACCCTAAACCCTAAATCCAAAAACTCTAAAAAAAGGCCTAAATCCTACACCCTGCCGCCTAAACCCGAACCCTTGAAGAAACCCTTAAACTCTAAATCCCAGAACCATGCAAGAAGGCCTATACCCTGCCTCCTTGACACGAATAGGGACCCAAAAAGGCACATAAGCATAAGCATTTTACCTGGATATCCCTACCTTATTGGGCTTCCTTTTCAGGGGATTTATATGGGATATCCTTATCCTATTTTTTGCTTACGAACCCTCAAAGGATCCCTGAAAGCCTTAGAGGAGCGCCCGTAGAGGCCTCCAGAATCGGTCCCCGATTTCGCTTCGCCGAGGGATGGTGACGATCATCATTTTTTATCTCCATGGCCCTTCAAGAAGACAAGGGTTTAGGGCTTACCCTAAAGGGTCCAGGTATCTCCTTAGGAGGGTCCGGAATCTCCCAGGAAGAGCCCTTGTGTCTCTTTGGGGTCTCAGAAATCCTGCACTTTGAGGTCCCCTTGAGCGCCTAAACCCCTAAACCCTAAACCCCTAAACCCTAAACCCCAAACCCCTAAACCCGAGACCCTGGACCCTTAGGGTAGGGTCTCCATGGCCCTTCAATAAGAACAAGGCAAATAGGACCCGGGGATGAGGGTTTAGGGTTTAGGCCCCGGGGGTTGGGGTCGATACTGCTTCGCCTTAGTATAGGGCTTTTGTGGTTTAGGCTTGCTCGGGATTCTGGAGATGAGGGTTTAGGATTTAGGGTTGAAGTCTAGCATCTGGCACTCATGGGTGTCTTCCGCAAGCTTTTGATCATGTTACAGTTTCGGCCTCTGTGGGTTGTGGCTTCCATCTTAACCCTAAGCCCTGAACCCAACTCTCCAAAGACCAAACCCCTAAACCCCAAGCCCAAAAGAATCCAAACCATCTGGGACAGCTGGTTCTGGTTTTGGCCCTGTAGTTTTGACGGTTTCGGGTAATCCGAAAAGTGAAGCCGGTCTAATGTAGGGGCGGCACAAGCTAGAACAGTCCCTGGGCTTATTTTGATATGACAAGATCAGGGACTGCAAAACAAATAATGTTCTTGCTATTTATCCCGACCCCTGTACTGTGCAAAAAAGGGATATTATTGCTATTTATCCCGAACTGTATATTCAGACTAGAAGCCTACAGAGCAGATAAACCTTCGAAAATTGCAAACCCCCTCAACGAGAAGCGTACCTGGGGTCTGCCACCAGCGGTGAGGAAGATATTTCGAGTTACCAAATATATTCGAGATATACAGTAAGTTGTGTGGTTCCCGTTGATTTAGTAGCACATGAGTAGTTGTCAACATTAGGGTCCCTTTTTGGATCCTTATTTTAATACGGCACCTAGTATTTAGGGTACCCCAAAAAAATTCCTCAAATTTGACAACTACCCACATAGTAAACCCTAAATCCTAAACCCGAACTGGTCCACCAGACTGAAGCCTTCGCAGCAAGGGTCCCGATCGCCGGGCTGACTGGCGATGCTTTCGGTGCCCTGAGGTTGAGGCTTCGGCTCTGCATGCATACCCAGAGGCTCCAAAGTAGTTCCTTTTTGGGGCTCATAGTTAGAATCCTATGAAGTAAGCCCAAAAAGGAACTACTTTGGGGCCTCTGGGTATACGCCTGTTCTTCATCATAAACCATGTTTATAGCCGCCACTTTACATATCAAGGATCCGGTAAGGTATCCCCAATGCGAACATATCTAGGATCCGCCCAATGCGAACTACAAAGGAGACTATAGGTATATCTTGTATATGTTACAGTGATTGCTAGGTGAGGAACTACGGAAGGAGGAACCTTGAAGCGGCAAACTCGGGACTGTGGAGGTCTCTGAGAACTTGAAGGATTGGGTGGAGGTCCAGGGGTAGTTATAAGTATATAGGGTCATAAGTAGGGTAACTATGCTTATAGCCCGTATTAGGGGACTTACAACTCTACTTATAACTACCCATGAACCTCCAAGTGGGTGGTTTCAACGCTTCCGCGTCCAGCCTAGCTTCGTAGAGCCAATGTGATGACACACCGGTTGAATATACCCGAACCACAACCCTCACAAAATCCAACCGCGCTGGGTACCATAAAGTTCTGCCTGCAATACGGAACACAGGATTGATGATAGGTCGGCAGGAAAATAGTAAATGTTAGTGTTCGTATCTGTGTATACTTGGAATCAATGTCGCGATTTAAATTTCAGATCCCACTGCTAATCTTACCTTGACCATGAACACAACAGACAGTAGACACGTACGCAAACATATCTTCCGGCCGAATAAACTTCACATCAAATGGGGCCATGCAAACACTAGTTACACTAGTGTAGTCACTAGTACCGGAAAGGCGGTCTAAGCCAGGCCACATTAGCAATCAGGAGGGTCATACAATTCAGCCGAGTGCAGCAAAACCCGATACAGCAAAACGCTGAAACTTGAGCCAGGCAGTACTTGAAGAGAAGCAATTGCACTCCTCTTGTGAGGCACTGAGAGGGTCGCAAGTTGTATTCTAGGTTCCTCGACATGACAACTGATATAGGAGAGAGTCAGGTGATGTAAAAGGGAACTCTCAAGAAATGTCAGCCAGTCCACCCCAGCCGCCTGCGGCCGCAGAAAATGCAAGGGCCACTTCGGTGGCAAAGGCACCACCTTGAACACAGTTTCTCCTGGCTGGTTGGGCCGTGTTTTCATCCAAGTTAAGCTTTCTTGCCCAGAGCTTTTGGATAGTACTTTGGTTTTGGGATTTATGCCCCCGGTTCAGCGCCGCTCGCTCCTCTATCTTGACAAGGTTCGGAAAAACCTTGGCACCATAGGCTTGGGCAGAGTCTTCAACAAGCTTCAACGGAGACCATCTCAGGGGATGCCTGGGATGAAAATTGTGGTTTCCAAAACTCTCACTCAAACAAACTATTCATGCCCCAGCCCTGAAGAATGCAGCTAAGTGCATGGCTTGCTTCGAAAGCCCACGAGCCCTTAAACACATATGAGAAACTCATAACAGTTGGATTTTTTTTGTTTGCGAGGTGTAATAGACCGGGAAGTGTCTTACGCGATGATTTCATGAGCGCGGGGTGACTCCGGATGGATGCCAAATGCAGTAGAGGGTCGGTACATGCTCCACGGAAAGACCATATCGTTGTTTCTTGCGGCATTTGGGAACAACATGCATTGCACAACCGCGTCGTACTTAATCCCACAACACTTGTGACTGCTAAGATATTTTCAATGCAAGTCATTGCAATGCGCAAACATGTCTGAACAAACGTCTGCTGTTTTGTTGACTGATTTGAGGATTTAACATGAACAAGTGTTGAACACCTTTTAGTGTGATACAACAGCAAAAACTGTGATTGGAATACACACGCTGGCCAATCTTGGAAAGCTGGTGGCAAGCACAGCTACTGGTAAGATTAATTACGGCAAGCTTTGTCTGAAATCGTTTGACTCCTTCCGCGGGTCCAACGTTTAATGAACGGTTCTCTGCGATATTCGAAAACCAACTGACAATGATCGAGTGTCGAACTTATCGACACATCCCACGCAACAGATGCAACATTATCTTGAGGGAAAACGTCTGAGGTTTTCACTTGGTGAACCAAGCGTGACCTATCGTTCTTCGCGCCGCTGCTCATTGGGAGACGGTTTTAAACACAAACTGGTACTACGTTCTGCAAGGGTTATACTTGTACTATTTCAGTAATTGTTCGACACTATCTATACTAAGCCTTGTGGGCCTCATTATCTACATAAGTATAAACAAAACAACAAACAAAGAAATACATAAATACATATACATATATATATATATATGTATGTACGTATATAGTGTGCGGGGGTGTAAAGTAGAAGCTCGACCCCCGCGGAGCCGAAGCCCCGGCACCTCTTGGGAGTGCAGTGCAGCGCCGGCCTACGAGTGCGGAGGGCTGCAATGTCTTCCTTTAGTCTCTAGTACTATAGTGAGCTTTGGCAGCTTAGGGCTTATGAGGGTTACCTTACCGCTTGCTTTGTTTTATTTTGTGTTGTTGTTGCCACTGATGCTTTGCCGTGTGTTGCTTTGTTAGTTGCCTGTTGCTTGCAGTCGCGCTCCTATTGTTGTTTTCTCGTGTTTAGTCTTTCGGGCTTTAGAGCAAGTTTAAAGATTGCGGGTGTTGGGACTTAGGTCTTCTCAGTGTAAGGATCCGGGTCAACCCCGAGACTATACAGCAAGCAGGAGGCGACTCACCTGTCAGAAGGTAACATCCCGTGCATATGCCAGAACTATTGCAAGTCAAGCTCACCACCTCCAAAAAAGCATTCATGAAGGTGCCCTCCCTGGCAACTCTGTGGGGGCCCATGGTTCCGAAATCACCACCAATGCATTAAGCTTCCTTGATTTCCTGGAGGTCGGATGATGTCGGATGTCGTCGCTGAGGTTGTTTCAACTTTGAGGGCTACGAGTCTACAACCCTTCCCAGACATGATGGGCTTAATAATTAGAATAGGGTTTTGGGGCCCATTATACTAGAATTGTAACCAAGAACCGCCAAAGCAGTAGTGGCAATGATTTAAGCCGCTATAATACATCTGGTAGAAGGCCTCGCACGTCCTATGGAACAAGACAATCTCGTACACCTGCGACACGTACTTGAACATGGCACAGAAGATAGGGGTTCCGTCGCAAGCATCTAGTCCACACACCGGCATACGTTTTCAATCCAGTACACATCATGTTTTGCATATTCAACCTGTTCAACTCTCTACAGGTTATGAATAGTAGTTCCTTTTTGGGATTACCTTGTCGGATTCTACATATGAACCCCCAAAATATGGGTAAAGCTCCATTCTGGAATTATGTCCCCAGAGGCCATCCCTATTATGGTTCGGGAGTCCTAATTCCATAATGGTAGTGCTAGGATGCCCAGTAACCTAGGAATATAAAAGGACTCCCTTTTTGGTATTATATTGGGTAACTTTATGAGGAACCTAGGACTGCAAAAAGGGAATAAGGTTAGCACTGGGCATCCTAGAGTGTATACTTACCCTTGGTTAGTAGGGAATGGAAGAATGGGAGTAATAGTAGTTATATTTGTACCCCAGTCCTCCATTCCCTACTAACCCGAAGTAAGTATACGCACCCTCTGGGAAAAGCATTGCACGTGGTTCAGTCCCAGGCTGGCCTGCCCGATCCAAGCAAAGAGCGGAGATCCTTAGCAGCTAAGTAGTAAGGTTAGAATTAGGGATATAGTTCGGATAACCCGCTACTTGGATGACTTATAAACCCAGTTAAAACCCTACTTGCTACGTTCCATGTGCCTTTGGTGGCTGCAACCCCCAAGTGCCAATGCACCAGAATATGTAGGCTTTCCTATAGATGTATGTATATCT